CTGAAAACAAATAAAAAGAAAAACAAATGCATTAGTATAGCTACACACACACACACACACACACACGCACACGCACACGCACACATACATAGATATGTACAGGGGTGGGCAAAAGGAGGTTTGCAGTTGTAATACAAATAAGTAAAACAATAATCAATGAATAATACAAGAATATACTCTGATTCATCTACTCACAACTATAAAACTACTTTTGCCCCACTGCTGTATATCCCACATATACATAAATATACATATATGTGTGCACATACACATACCAGAGCCTCCCACTTCTCCACTGAGCTCAGCGCCCTTTCTTGCCCTTCTGTCTATGCTCACCCCAAATTGGTCAAAAACCCAACTAGGTGGTTTGGGATCTGGTCTGGCTCTAAGCCACCTGGAACCCATCAGCAGGCTCGCTGAGTCCCTGGTCAGAGAAGCCGTTATGGGAGAAGTTAATTCAGCACAGCCAAGCTTGTGATGATGGAGAGCAGAATGAATCAATCAAAACACTCATATATATTTGATGAACGAGAACTTTGAATGAATGAATAAATGAACCTTTATTGAGGTCCTCCTATGTACCAGGGATGTGCCAGGAATGTTTAAGAGTATTACTTATTTTAATCCTCATACTTTGTGAAGTAAGGATTTTATATTCATTTCAAAGGCAAATATTCTGAGGGTCAGAGTGGAAAAGTTTCTTTCCAAGATACTAATACGCAGTCCAACTGGAATTTAGTGGATTCTCCATTGTTCCATGGTGAAATGAAACCACATGCTATGCTGGATGGTAGTAGGGCATGGGAGAAGTGTAGAAAACAGAAGACATAGCCTTATACTTGAAGAGCTCACTGATTGTGAGAGGGATAATATGCCCTTCAGTTACGGTGGGAGTGGAGGGTGAGTACACTCATCCCCAGTACAGCAGGCAATGAGGCATGTGGCAGGGATTCAGGGAGGAGGGCTTGGGTCCTGCCCAGGGTCAAACGCTATGTGGAAGCACAGAGCTCTAAGCTCGGAAGAACAATGTGATGGTTTCTTAACGAGGACCAGGTTGGTCTGGTGCAGGTCTAGGCAGGTAGATCAATGGAGATGTAAAAGAGAAAGCCCAGAAATAGGTCCATCGGTAAAAAACAACTTACTCTATGATAAAGGCAGCATTTCAAATCAGTGGGCACAAGATGACTTAGCCAATAACTAGTTTGGGGACAACTGGCTAGCCTTTTGCTAAAAAGAAAAGCTATATGTTGGCTTTATACAGAACACAAAAATAAATTCCAAAAGCATTAATGATTTAGATGAAAATAATTCTAAAAGAATTAGAAGAAAATATAGGTGAATAGCTTATCTTAGAGGTGGAAACTTTTCTAATAACATTTGCCAAGGAGGGTTTACAAATAAAAGAACAGATAGATTCAACTCGATAAAAATTTTAAACTCCAATATGTCAAATTAAAGACCATTAAAATCTTAATGATATACAATAAACTCAGGAAAACATCTGAAATATATATATGAGAGACAGATCTTAGTATTCTTAATATAGATATATACTTATAATCAATATAACAGAAGCTTCAATTTTAAAAAATGGCAAAGAATATGAATTGCATAATTCCCAAATGAGAAATGCAAATAGTCAACAGGCGTAAGAACAAAATGTTGAAATCTATTAAACATTATAAAGGCAAATTAAAATTTTAAACTGATTCTTTAATCCATCCAGTCCTAGGTTTTCTTTCTAAGAAGGTTTTGAAAATTGGTTTAAATAATCTAAAAGAAATTTCTAGATATGAGACTAAGGCTTCGCGCCTATACAGCTGTTACTCATTTATAGTGAAACATAAATAGCAGCATAAAAACAAAGAAGTACCTTCCTATGATATCCTACTTCCACATTAATAAAAATCCATATGGCTTTCCATTGCTGTGTGATATTAAGTGAGGAATATTATGTACATATCTGGGCCTGCCAACTCAAATTTATTTTTTAATAAATTAAAAAATGTAAATCTTAACTTGCTCGTATATTTAGAGAATGTTTTTATACTATGTTGTATTTTTAAAACAAAGAATAAAACAGCAAAAATATTTTAACTGGAAAAATTATTTTTTTTGTGGGTTTTTTTTTTGGCTTTATTTTATTTTATTTCCGGGGGATGAATGTGTGTTGTTCTTGTTGTGGTTCTTGTTGTTTTTTGCTTTCTTTTATTTTTTGTGGAAAAAAGTATATTTACATGCTCCCCAAATCAAAAACCAAAGAAAACAGTGAAGTCTTCCTCCCACTCTTATCCCCCGTATGGCTAGGGCTCACCACACCCCAAACGGGCAACCATTACGATGCATATCTTCTGTATCCTTCTAGATTATGAATATATGTTATATTCATATTTGCTTGATATCAAATACCAATATGCATTATTACTTATCTTCCTTCCTTTGAAATAAAATATAGCATTTATATACATAGTTTCACACTAGTTTTTCCTAACAATATATATTAGACAATTTTATTATACTAGACAATATAATTTTATTATATTAGACAATATAATCTATATATTAGACAATAAGAACTTCTCTATTTATCATTGGTTATTTATTGTAAAAATGTATAATAATTTATTTAGATTGTTTCCAGTATTGGATTCTTAAACAAATGCTACAAGGAATAACCTTGAATGTACATCATTTTTCAAATATGCCAGGGTATCTGTCAAGCGAATTCCAAGACCAATGATGTATGTACTTTTAATTTGGAAAGATGTTTACAAATTGCCTTCTACAAGGTTTTTATTCATTTACACACCCACCCAAATCATGCATGTGCTTGTTTCTCCCAGCCTTGCCAACAAGTATGCAATCACGCTTCTGGAACTTACCAAATAATGAGGAAAAAGTGAAATCTCAGGACATTTCAATTTGCATTTATCCTATTATAAGTGAGTGTGCACATCTTTCCATATATTAAACAACCATTTTTACTTCTTCTCCTATGAAATGTATGCTTATGTTATTCAAATTATTCCCAATTTTTTCCTTATAGGATAATATGTAGGGAATATAAGAGCATAAAGACCTAGACACAGACTACAAACAGGGGTAAAAATTGATTTAAAATAAAAACTTTTTTCAGGGGTCCCTTAGGAACACATATCAAAATCCTGTGGATGTGAATATTCTTTGACTTAGAAACTCCATTTACAGAAAGTCATCATAAAGGAATATTCACAGATATGAAAAGATGTGCATGTGTATGGAAGTTCATCAAAGCATAGCTTATGTCAAAAGACTAGACTCTGCCTCTCTATGAATTCTCTTGGTTGCTCAGTTATATTTCTCTCTGCACCTTTCTTCTGCTTTTTCTTCAACCTGGTTTTTCTGATGCCCATCAATGCTATCACCAATCAGCTTCAAATGGCTGCTCCTCAATTACCAAGACAATCTGCATTGGCTAACAGTGTTACATCAGGGCCAGCTTTGGCAGCTAAGTGAGCCAGCCTCTGTGAGTCCCAATCCCACATTCCTAGGGGAGAGAATATCATTGCATCAGGAGACTTTGGGGTTAAATTTTGGTCTAGAAAATTGCAGTCTTTGGGAGGGGGGGAGCAGAGTGCCATGCTTCAGTGGTGATATTTGGGACGAAACACTTGTTTAGCGGCTCCGAAAACAGAGCAGTGTCTTAGCAGTTAGCGCTTTGGAGCATCAGAAGTATGCATCCACCCACCCTTCCACCTGAACACCTGCCTGGCTCCCAGAGCTGTAAAGAGGGTCCAGACCTTAGAAGTTCAAGGAAGCAAGGTTTGTCCAATGGGCTATAGTCATTATTTATCTTCTGACAGTAATATTTTTTCAATTGGTTGGAGCTTCAAAAACAAAATTTGTCAGACTGAGTCACAATTCCTGTGATGTAGCGGTTATAGCTGCAGCCACTTCTTATGAAGAGGGAATAAAACATCTCAGCTACCATGTACACACTTGTAGAGAAAACATACTCTTACTGATGCCCAGAGAGCATTTTGCACCTGCAAAACCTCCACGCCACTTTTGTTTTGTGAATGCTGGGGGAGGCTTGCACAGTTTCTTTGCTGGAGGAGAAAGAACCTCTGATGATTAAGAATTTGCCCCCAATTTCTCCTAAGCCCAGGGACAAATGTGAGTCATTTCAAAGTTAGAAAAGTTAGTAAGTTGATGTGGTAGATGAAGTAAAAGAGAGTAGAAGCTGCTCTGTGTTTTCTAGCTTGGGAACCAGAGTAGAACAGGGCAGAGGCAGAAACTAATACCGAGGGCTCAGTTAGGTATTGAGATAAGATACATGTATACTAGTAGGTGCTAGAGTCTGAAGTGAGGCATACACTGAAATTTCAGCTGTGGAATATTCTAATTTGGGTCTCCTCCCCCCCGCCCCCCGCCAAAAAAAAAAAAACATAAGACACAGACTTGGGTACAGGTAGTTTAGTTGGGAGGTGATGCCAGGGAGCAGAATAAAGGAGAGGGGAGAGTGAGGCAGGGAATAAGAAAAGCCACTAAAGGGTGTGCTATGGAGTTGCTTATCTCAGTGGGAAACTGGAGTTCAATCTCGCTGGAGAATCTCTAAGGAACCACATAGAACTACATGGTAGTGACCACTTCAAAACTATTCCTCCAAAGATGGGAAGTGTTAACTCCTTTGAGCTTCCTGTATGCAAGCTGGGCCTTCCATAGCTTCAGACAAGGCCCCAAGGCAGGAGAGTGGAGACACCCAGAGCATTCTTTTGTATGCATGGAGCTGTTCACTCAGCACAGTTGCACTGAAATCTAGTGGCTGAGGGGATTTGGGGCATTGCACATAAAGCAGCTGCTAAGAAAACCAAGAGGATCTGGGTCATATTTGAAATCACAGAGTGGATAAGATTGGTGAGTCTACAGAGAAGAGAAGGGATACACAGACAGAACCTCAGGACCCGAGCAAAGGACAAACAGTGATCAGAGAGGCCAGGGAATCAGAATAGTGTTCCATC